GATACCATCGATCAACAAGTTCGTGTTTTACAAGTTGAGGTTGCCAAACAAAATAAAATTTTGGCTCGCATGAGAAATACTATTCCAGCCACATCCTTCACAATTGCCAGTATGGTTTCTAACTTACAAACTACTCTAACCCAATTGCGAGCTATAAATCGGGCCTGGGTTAAGAATAAATTAGACCCAGCCATTTTCGACCTTTTGAATTTAACTTTACCCTGTGGAGAACAATGTCCGGTAGAATCAGTTTACTCAATGAATTGCTATCATAATCCAATGGCTCAAAAATTGAGATTCGTCTTAAAATTTAGAAAAATAGATCCCGAGTCTAAATTAATGGTAGCTGACCCTTTTACGCTTTTGGACTACAATGAAACTACAGGGGAATTGTGTAAATTACATTACACTGGACCGAAATACGTCATTTACCGAAAGGGAATCAGATGTACTATCCCTGTCAATAGTTACAATTCTGTTGAGACTGATACTCTCGTAGTCGTCCCTGACACTTCGAGTTGCAAGTTAATCGAGAATAATAATACTCTGTTAAATGTGAAATACGACACTCTATTCAGGAAAATGAACTTCTACAGATAAAGCCCATAAATGACGTGAACATCATTTATTGTCCCGGTCTGACCATGAAAGCTTATGACCGTGAGGTTAAATGTCCTGAATATCCTTTTCAACTTAATGCACAAGAGAAGTTTACAATCGGTAAATTTCATTATGAAACAGATAAATCTGCAATTAAGACAAATTTACGCTTCATACCTGAAGCCTCAGAGAAGATAAACTTACAATTAATGCCAGACTTACATACTTTTGATGCTGATGAATTACTAGATTCATTAAAAGAAAAATATAACAGTTTGAAAAGTCAATTAAGACCCATCGAATTAAATGATTGGTCACCTAGATCATTCGGTCTGACACTCAATTTACTCTCTATATTACTTTTATTTACAGTAACTATCCTCTGTGTTTATACCATACGATTTCGAAGGCGTATATTAATTTCACCCAATGAACAATCTCGTCCTGAAGAGGTACCTCTAGAATCAACATCAGGCTGGAATAAGCGTGCTGCGAATACTACAACTAATGAGAGACCAACGAAAGGGAGTTTGAATAAATTTGTTACCTTATCCATCTTGTTCATGTTCCCAGTACCAGGTTTACTCTTCCCATTAAATGAATCTAACATTGAAATCATTCAAATTTCATATGGAAATCCTTGTCAGAAATTTCAATTGCTCGAAATGCAGAACAGTTGCCATAAATTATTAAACGAAACCTTCGTCAGACCTCTGAGTTCGGTCTGCTCTTTGAAACCCGAACTCCAAGTAATGAACCATGAAACTTTTCCGTCTATTAATAATAGAAGAAGAAGATCCACAGCAGATGAAATTAAATTAGTTGCAGTACAAACTAAATTGATTATCATCAAAGAAAAAGTAACTCGATTCCTATCTGCTTGGAACTCCGGTGAAATTTCAATCAATATGTTGAATGAGATCGGAGTAGAAAATATAACTCGAAATGAAATTGGTTCATCTAGGTTAACACTAAAACCTTTATTTTGTGACATTGATACTCGGTGTCAACAATTAACGATTGGTTTCATGAGAATTGAAGATTCTTTTGTTTATTACACCTGGTTAACCTCATTATCTATCTTAATAATTATGTGTCTAATTATTTTGATCAAATGTATGTGGACTGACCGAAAGTCTGACCATGTAAAGTTGCGAAAAATTACTGACAGACGAGAACGAATCCCTTCCTTTCCTCCTCCACCACGACTGTGGTTTGCTTAATCAAATCAGACCCTAATTAATACCTCTTATTTATCATCAATTACACACTAAAATTTAAAAGCTAAAAAAAAAAAATGACAAAAAAGAAACAAAAACTCAATTAAAAATAAGAATTAATACTATTGTAGACAGAGAGACTAAATTAGTACATTAAATAAGTATTATATTATTTGATGTACATCTACAATGAATTTATAAATTAAATTAAAGCAAATAACATTGATAATTAACGTTTAAATTAAGAAATAAAGAAATTCAACTTGTTCGATAATCGGTTACATGTAAAAATCGAACATCGGACTTGTATCCGGATAAATATCGAGATCAGGATCAAACTGGTACTTTTTAACAAAACTCGGTCTGACCATGATTTAAATTGGATAAACGCCCAATTGTATATCAATTTAAGCCTAAACAGTTAATTTAAATCATAAACATTGCAATTGTAACTATCTAATGACAATTTACAATTCCAAACTGCCGTAAGACACGGTCTGACACTGATTAATTGTCAGAAATTCATACTAAATCAGTACTTTTTGATGTTAGACAATGACTATGTTGTAGAGCATCATTTAAATGATTTATTTAAATAAAAATAATCAAGAAATAACCATTGATTAATTTAAAACAGTGAAAAAATGAAATCTTGTCGTTCGCTTATCGAATGCATGTAAACATCGAACATCGGATCCGAATCCGGACTCATATCGGTAGACTGGATCCGTCAGACCAAAATTCTAATTAAGTTAATTTAGGGAATTTCCGGAATGAAATTATGTTTAAAAATCGTTTTAAATTATCCTCTTTCCCAATTTATCCTTTAAAATCTTAAAACATGACTAGAAACCAATTTAGTATTTAATTCTATATTTTGAAACCCTAAAATAAGTTAATTTTGAAGAATGTATGCCGTCAGACCTTCTTTTTACACATTGCCAGGCTTGAAATTAATTTAGTAAATAAAAATAATAATGATAATATTGTTTATTTGGTGAAAATCAAGAAAAAATTGAATTAAATTCATTCGATTATCGGACAACAAAAACTATCGATCATCGGATCCAAACTTGGATCCAATCCGGGATCAAGATTGGGATCAACAACTAAAATCGTCAGACCGCATTAAAAGAAATAAAGAAAGAATAGAAACGCTGAATTCAAAAGTAAAAGCATTTATTGAACTTAAAGAAATCATTGGGCTTTTTGCCATTTATCAAAATCTTCTCCTTGTAATCCATTGCCATTTGGCAAATTTTCTGGGTGATTTAGTACCAAATGTTGCTTTAGATTTTGCCAACGCTTGGCCTCAGCGAAATTCACTTTTTTTGCCACAAAAGGCACATTTCAACTTAGGTGGATCAAAACTGAAACCAATCCAAAATCCATATTCGGGATGCAACTCCATGTTTCTCGCAATTGTGTTGAAATTCCCTCCGATTTCCTTAGCCTGTCGAATAAGGTCTGACAATGGAGAAGTTCTCTTTCCTTTTGAATCAGACTTCGTTGTTAACACTTCTTTCTGAGTTTTTGGATGGACCATCCGTCCGATTGTACCAACTAACTCGCTTTCACCAGTTTCAGGGTCCACTTGAAAGATTCTCCGTTCCTCAACTATATTCGGGTGGCAAAACGGCATACAAGAATAATTATGATCTCCATTATTTTCTATGGCAAACATTTTAAATTAAAGAAGATATGACGTTAAGAGAAACAATAATAAGTATTACAGATAATAACATAGATGCGAATACTGAATAAAAAGTGCGGGAATAAATGTAACAAATATGGTGAATAAGGAAAAAGGAAACTGATACAGTGGCGCCATCTGTTGACTAGTGAATTAACATAGAATTTGGGCTCAAAAGCGCCAATTTTGAATTAAGATTTAATTATTTTTGGTCTGAAATGCTCCTAATTGCTTTTAAATTGATTAAATAATCATTTAAAGTAAATGATTGTGAAGAAAACATATTTGGACACGTCCAAAAGGGACTTTGGACTTTTCGTAGAGGGGATGAATGTCGGACCCTGGATTTTGATTACTAAATTTATTATCAGACTAAAGAATTAGAAATAAAATGAATGTCAGATCCTGGATTTTGATTACTAAATTTATTATCAGACTAAAGAATTAGAAATAAAATGTGCGTCAGACCCGGGATTTCTTGGAATAAATAAAATAAAGAAATAAACTATGATGAATTTTATATAAAGTTAAGGTCCTGAGAAACTAATTTTCGAAGAATAGAGATTTGCATGAGAATAAATAAGACTTATTTTATGATTTAAGATTTACCAGAGAACCTTAAATGTTTCGAAGAAATGCTACCCTAACTCGTAAATTATTGAGAATTAACTAATAAATAAGACATTTGCATACTGACTAAAGCCTAAAACTAGGTTTAAGGGTCCGTCAGACCCTACTTTCCCAGATAATAAATTGCTAAAGCATAACTATTAAGCAGAGAAAAAGGTCAAACGACCATCTGGTGATTTAAGGTCACGAACTCTGCTCTCCCAAACGGGACTATATAAAGAATAGGTAAAATTTGATCATTTATCCTTAAGTTCAGTTTTGGATCCAGAAGTTAAGTTTTTGATCTTCAAGTTTAAGTACTTTGATTTGTGGTAAATTCATCTTGAAGTATTTGTTTTGCTTGGTGTTCAGTAAAAGATTTTGATACCTTTATTTTGTATACTTCACAGTATTTTTATATAACTATGAAAGTAAATAAAGCATGTCAACTAAGTTTTGTTCTTGAAAATTTCTACCTTTACTTATTCATCATATTAAACGGTCGTCAGACCCATCACTCTCATCCTCATTGTCATACTACACATGGAACCCGGCTCGGTGACAATATACAGTAGTAATGTTGTCATTGAAGCGTCATGATCATGGTTAATTTTTTAATCCACTTCATCAATTTAAGTCAATATGAAAGTAAATTGGCATGTACAAAGTGATGATTGATTAACCATGATAAACCAAGAAACGATTAAATATGGTGTTTTATGTAAAATTTTCAACTGTGTTATTGCACGAGTGAGAATTATCGCAAACAAGATCAGAAGATTGATATTTATTAGATCTGATTGATTAGATGAAATCTGATTTTCGGATGATATGCTTGAATCTCATATGCAATGGAATAAAAGATGAAAATGACAAAGTTTGCGAGTTTATTCATATTATTTATTCTTTATTCATTTCGGAATAGATGACATAGCTTAATTATAATAGCTTGATCCCCTTAACATAGACAAAAAATGAAAACGACTATACTCGTTGACTTAATTTCATGTATAGGATACTGAAAGCATTTAATCGTCTTCAGTGAAGCCGTGAGTGACAAAAACCACGAAAACATAACTCACCAAAACCGCATTTTTTTTGAGGTGAACAAGTCTGGGACAAAGATGGACAAATCTACAAAAAAACGGAAAATTTATTGTATTGGACAGGTTTTGTTCAAAACTAAATACTGAGTAATATTTGTTCACTTTTAATTAAATTATGAACTTGAAATGAAAATGATACTTACTAGAATGCCCAAGAAGAACAAAATAAAATACAAAGAAATGAATTTCATGTTTTCAGAGTGTGTAAAAGAAAATTTATTGAATTGAAGTAACAATTATAAGAACTGATAACCAATTCATTCAAACCAGGCTTTATATACCTTAAATTTGTTTATTCAATGAATAATGTTGATCATCAAGCTGGCAAAATTTTCGCATCAATTCTATCTACTGTGTAGTATTAGTAACTTATTTGTATTAGTAATTTAAACCCATTAATTATACAGTAAATAGTTCAACAGCTTTGCCATGACATAAAAAAGCAAACTTCCCTGTGACTCAAAACCTAGTATCGTTATGTCAGCTGTTATTGCACGAATGAGAATTATCGCAAATAAGATCAGAGAATTGATATTTATTGAATCATTGACTTTTATTATTTAACATTGACTGACAGTCTTGTAAACCTTGAAGAGTGTTGAATATAAAATATTTAAGTCGATAAAAAAAGAAATGGCCGAAGATATTATAATGCTTTGGTTCTGTCACACAATTGAAGACCAAGGAATCCACAGGCGTATTTGAAAAGTTGACGATTGTCTTTAAGGTCAGTTACAATGGATTTCCAGTCAAGTTTCTTGGTTCCAGACTCTGATTTGGTTCCATCAAAATAAGCAACTAGACCATCAACATCACCTGCAGTTAAAAGCTTTAAAATACCAGTTTTATGGTAAAAAATGAATTCAACCAAAGTCTTTCTATCAATGGATGGATTACTGGTTCCTGGTCCAGTATTTCTCATGGCCCAGGCAACTAGGGAAGGAAGACCGTGTTCTTTTTCTTCAGTAATACCGGTTGCTTTCTTGAAGGCAATTTTGGCCAAAACAGCGGGCCAGAGAGTTCCTTCAGTACCAGATTCTTGACCATGAGTTGATAGGAAAAGGCCTAAGCCAATAATATCGCCTGATTTGTTTGCAAATTGCTCTCGATTGTCTTCAAGAAAGTTGAAAAATTTGACTGGATTTATTTTACTGACTTCTTTGTCTTCAGCTGGATCAGAGGAAGCCCAAAGTAACAGAGGAATTGGCTCGGTAACGGGTTCATCAGCAGCTAAATGGTTAGCAAAACAAGGTTAATACGGATTTTAACTAACAAGACACCTTGAAATAGGAATCAATTGAGCTAAGATCTTACCTAAGACAATAACAGCCGGAATCACCAACAGGCAAGTGAGAGTTAAAAGAGATCGGACCATTTTATTTTAATAACAATTTTGACTATTTCAGGTTTTAGATTGGATTTGAAGAAAGTAATTAAAATGTTTATTGACGTGTAATAGCTTTTTATAAGTCAAACTGCCTCAATATTTGATAAACAACCCATTGTTTATGAGATTTTGACAGATATTTTCTTCACTTGTTTGGCAAATTTACCTGGAAATATTACCTAATCGCACCATATCTTCGAACTATATTATAATTCCAAAGGTTTCAGTTTCACAATCAACCAAACAATACATGAAGTGATTTTTACACAAAGATTATGTTTTGTTGAACGTTAAAAACGTTCATTTGAGCCAACAAATTACAATATCATTTGAAATGGATAATTGATAAAATATAAATCCTTATCCTCAAGATAATCAATCAATTTACAATTAAATTGTTTATTTACATATTAAATATGGCAAGCCTGGAAGCTTATCATTCACAGTCTACAGATCATTCAAGATCGGTGTTCATTCCGGTCTTCTGTGAATTATTTTCTTGCAATCGCACTTTTGTGATATCTCGCGATCTAATATGCTGAAATTGTGTCCATTAGATCTTTTTACCCATTTTTGGCAAAAATTTTTATATTAAGCCAAAGCTCAAGGTCAGCTTTTTTAACCTTTGACTTACATTTGGAGACCACCTGAATTGATATGGGCATTAGGCTAGTTGAATTTGATTACAAGATACACGATTACAGTCTATGTACCTGGTACATCTACTAAGGGATAAACATTCATATCTTTTGAACATTTGATTTTTTGATTTTTGCTGCTATTATATTTGTAGAATGAAATATTTTATCAATTAAATAAAACAAAACAAAAACAATAACGAAAGTAATACATTGATTTATGACCTTAATTTGGATCGATCTCCATTGTGTTTGAACTTAATTTGTATACTTTCGGTTTACTTTACCCATAATTTATCTGTCAACTTTGCTATTTTTAATTGTAATTCACTTCAGTATATGAAATGTATTGATGTATCTCGATTTGTCAAATATTTAATTTAGGCTAAAATTTGATGCTTCATCTGATCTAAAAGTATCAACTTGAAACAATTAAACTGTCAATTGTCTTGCATCTAAAATAAAACTTGATTGTGTTCACTATTTGATAGCTTTTGCAGTCTATTGAGTGGACAATTTATCTTTTACCTTGTCTGAATAATATAAATCTTGTACTTGTACTTTTTATCGATTAAATTATCGTAATAATAGGACTTGTCCATTTAAATTGTTTGAACCCTTATTTTTAGATTGTTGATGAACGCTCAAAGGCATAATTTATTTTACATTCAGTGTCTCGTCTTTTGTTTAGTTTTTAAATTACTACAGTATTAAATGTTTTTGGCAAAACGTCATCTAATTGATCCATTTATATTAGTTAACTAGAGATTAAAAGATGATGACTCGATTGCATGTTAATCTGCTCAATAGGGGTTAAAGGTGGGAGGTTGAGGTTTTTATATCAATCAGCTAAATTAATAGAAGATCAAATAAATTGGATTCTCCAGTTTTTTCGACATCATTCCAAGTGTAATTTAATCTTGTAAAGATGATTGATGCCAGTAATCTTTGATTAACCATCATAAGCTGTAATTAGGAGAATCTGTTGATGAATGAGAACAATAAGAATTATTATTTTTTCACCAAAACAGGCTGTTGCAGTGAATCTTGTCTGGCATGAGCACGATGAGTTAATTGCTGATATAACCATCCAAGTTACCAAGAAATTTACACAAGATATCATGATGATTACATTACTTCCTCTCGACGAAACTTGTCATTGATGAACCATCGATTCTCAAGAATACATCCAAAAGACCATCAATGAACAATTGCTTAACAGGACACTTGACAATCAATGAGCTTAAACACTCAATGTAACATGAAGTTGCTTGAAGAATAGATTGATTTATAAGTATGATTGACTTTGAAATTTTTTGGTGATTTGATGAGAAATCAAAGATAATTGTTGATAAATAAGAAATGCATTCTTTTAAAATCGTTAAATAACAAATTGACTGGTATAATTTGGGCCTTGTAATAAAGCATGACTAGTTGATGATGTTTGGAATGGCAAGTTCACTTAAGGTGGCCAAAGGCACGAGAGATCCACGACGAAGATCAATGTCAGAGGCGTTAATTTCCTGATGAAGGAGAAAATAGATAATAATGTTAATGATCAATTTAAAGAAATTATTGGATATTTTTGAAACTAACAGAAAGAATCATTGTATTATCTACATCAGGCTCCCAATTGAGCTCTTGAGAAGTCGTGACAAGGTGATGATGATGATGATGATTGAAGCACCAATCTGTACAATTATTTACGAGTTTCAATGGATTTCCAGATAAATCAATAACATTTATGAATGTTATTAAGTTTACCAGATGGGTTAGGATTTAAAAAGGACGGTGATTTTCAACGTCATCAATATTTGTGTGATTGTTGTTTTTGTTATTGTTAAAGGCAATATGTTTTGGGCAGTTTGTTCAGTTTGTTTGCAGTTGATGGTACCGAGAAAGAGAGACATCAGCATTATTGAGACAATAACGGAACATTGAATTGAGCCAAAAAAGATTAAATCATCATTCAAGTTTACCATAAGTACCATTAGTTGCTGAACTCAATCGTCTAATAGTAACAGCGTCGTCAGTTTCTTTATCATATTCCTCAGATGTTTCATGTAAAGGTTGCAGTTCAGTCATTTTCGATCTTCCTTCAGTTGATTTAAACGAAATTAATCGTGCTTCTGGAGTTCTTTTTTCATAATTTTGATAGACTCGGGTATAAGCTAAACAAAAAAGAGAGAAAGATATTTAAAAATTGGGAAAATTTCATCTTGATTAGAGTAAAAATTATCGGTAGACATACGTATTTTTGGAGATCCTTTTCGTTGAGCATTGAAAAATGGTGTTTCTCCTCTGAATTTATTCATTTTATATGATCTTTGGATTTTGCACATGTAAATGGTTATTCCAGTTAATACAATAATCAAGATACTGAGGCATCCAAAAAATACATAAAATTCAGTTGTGTACAGATCAACTGGACTTTTACGGCTTTTGGTTTTTAGTATGTGATGTTTAACAGGCTCTTCTGTAGACCATTTAGTATCAGGAAGCTGAAAATAAGAGAAAAGCCAGAAAATTAATGTGATTGTCAGCGTTAATTAGTCAGTAGTTGGTATTGAAAAATATATAAGCTGTAAATCATGAAGATAATTAATATAAAATTTGAGACTGTGGCTCAAGACATTGAGAATTATCTTATTGAATGAAATGTAATAATGAATATTCACCTCGTACGGAAGGTTAACACCATATGAAACAGATTTAGAGATACTTTTGAAGCGTGAACACCTTTGTTGTTTTATTCCTTGCCAAATGTGACTCCCGTTTTGCATGACATCAGCCTTGTCATCACCTTCGAAAGCTGATTCAATCGGATTGATCAGCTGTTGATGCTTTGGTCCAACCTTGATTCTCAAATCTACAGTAAAAAAAGAGAGAAAATGAAATGAAATAAATCATCTTCACGAGTTGAAATGCTGATTCAACTTATTGAAAAATAACTCACTTGATATACATCCGATGTATGTACTATATTCATCCAGATAATTGTCAGAATCTAGATTACCACCGACTTTAATCATCTGTTTGGGTCCTAATGAACCAATTTTTGGTATGTTTTGTTTGAGAGCCACTTCATGAACAGCACCATCAATCTGAAAACAAAACAAACATAAATTCTGGTTAACTTGTGAATTTAACTATTTTAACGTATCAAGAATCTAGAGCGGATTTAGATCAACCTCGAGTAAAAGAAGAATCGTACTTACTTCAAGCTTGACATTATCATTTGTTCGATTGTAAACAACCCAATGTCTGAATCCATCAGCATAATGATGTTGTTGCCTTGAAATTGTTTTACGCCAAGCTAGTGATGGTTTTATGTCAAAAATTAATAAAAATAGATAAAATTTGTAGTCAAATTGCGGAAACAAAATTTTATGACTGCTCTGTTTGAATTGATATCTCTTCAAAGCTAGAGGTTTCATAATATTCACTTGATTCGAGATGATTTAGAATCATTCGTTTGAAGTAAAATCGTCTCACATTTTTTCACTTTTTTATCCTTTCGAGTTAAGCTATCAACTTTATTTTGAGAATCGATTCAATAATGAGGATCACAAAATCTTTAGGCTGTCTTCTGGTTTTTTTTGCACCAAATTTTTTCCACGTTATTTTTAGGCAGAGGGATTACGTTTTACGTAATAAAAAACTTTTGACCTCAAGATGAACTTACACCCTTGAAATCGTGCTTCCCAGGGCCAGAATTTCGGTAATTTTGTGAAAATTTTTTTATTTTTAAAATGTAATCCTCCAGAAAATTATGCATTTAGCTGAATGAAAATTATTTTCCTATCTAAATCTGTTAAAAAGTTAGAGCGATTTAATTACTAGCGTCAATTTTGACTCACCTAGTACATGCATTTATAAAATTGGCGGTTAGCAAAGGAATAAAGAATGAAAATGACAAAGTTTGCGAGTTTATTTATATTCTTTATTCATGATCTATTTCGGAATAGATGACATAACTTAATTAGCTTGATCCCCCCTTAACATGGACAAAAAATGAAAACGACTACTTTCGAAGACACAATTCCATGTGAGGATAATTGAAGCATTGAATCATTCTCGATCAGTATGCTCTACATTCACCCTTAATGCAAAAAATGGATAGGCCGCAATCTGAGCTTGTTTTACAAGTTTTTCGTCTTGCGAAAGATGGGCAGATCTACAAGAAAGCAGAAAATTTATTGTATTTGAGTTTTGTTAAAAATTAAATACCGAGTAATATTTGTTCACTCTTAATTAAATTATGAACTTGAAAGGAAAATTATACTTACTAGAATGCCCATGAAGAACAGAATAAAATACAAAGAAACGAATTTCATGTTATCGGACTGTGTAAAAGAAAATGTATTGGATTGAAGTAGAATTTTTAAGAACTGATAACCAATTCCTTCAAACCAGGCTTTATATACCGAAAATTTGTTCATTCAATGAATAATGTTGATCATCTAGCTGGCAAAAATTTTCGCATTAATGCTATCTACTGTGTAGTGTGTAAACATTATTTATACACGTATTAGTAATTTAAAACCATTCATCTTACAGCAAATAGTTCAACAGTTTTTCGTAGACAGAAAACAAAGCAAACTTCCGTTTAACTCAACACCTAGTATCGTTCTGTCAGCTGTTCTTTCAGACAAAAAATCATCAATGTGAAGTATAAAAACAGCTAAACTGATAACAGGAGGAAAATGAAATTTCCGTTTCCTTTAAGTACTCGAGACTTTAAGCCTGCTGTTTCACAAACTTATGACCCCTTTTATGTTAATCGTTTTGCTTGATTATTTACAAATTTAAATTTAATTCGTTTCGTTAGAACATACATTTTTCGTATCAATTTTATTCTACAATTGATTTTAATGATTCTAACAGATCGGGAAACCGGTCGTACTAAACTAATGCACAGAGCATTTCAGGCACGCTCTCATTTATATAAAAAACATTTTGCATAAGAAAACTGCAAAACATTAAATCATAGGTAATCAGGTACTTAAATGAAACGCAAATTTAATTTGCCTCATGTTATCAGTTTAGCTGTTTTGATGATTAATTAATGATTGTTTGTATTGAAGAACAGCTATCATAAGGTTAATAGGTTTCGAGTCAAACAAAGTTTGCTTTCTTTTCTGACATTTGAAATCTGTTGAACTATTTCCTGTATGATGACTGGGTTTAAATTACTATTAATGCGAAAATTTTGCCAGCTAGATGATCAACATTATTCATTGAATAAACAAATTTTCGGTATATAAAGCCTGGTTTGAAGGAATTGGTTATCAGTTCTTAAAAATTCTACTTCAATCCAATACATTTTCTTTTACACAGTCCGATAACATGAAATTCGTTTCTTTGTATTTTATTCTGTTCTTCCTGGGCATTCTAGTAAGTATTATTTACCTTTCAAGTTCATAATTAAAATTGAACGAATACTACTCAGTATTCAGCTTTGAACAAAACTGTCCGTTACAATAAATTTCTGTTTTCTTGTAGATTTGTCCATCTTTGTCAAAAACTTGTACAAGTAATCAAGAATGCCTACCTGAAACAGCCACTTGCATTGGTGGTAGGTGTATCAAATTCAGCTAATTAAGCTATGTCATCTAAATGAATAAAGAATAAATAACTCGCAAAATTTGTCATTTTCATCTTTTATTACTTTGCATATTCAAGATTTCAACAGATGATCCGATTTATCTTGGTAAAAAATTTTATGGCTACTCTGTTTTATTCTTTATGATTGTTTGAATTGATATCAACAAATTCAGAGGTTTCATAATATTAACTTGTTTCGAGATGGATTAAAATCATTTCTCGTGTCGTTTGCAGTAAGTCTCTCTTTTTACACTTTTTATCCTTTCGAGTTAAGGTGTCAACTTTTTTGAGAATAGATTCGCTTATGAGAATAACAAAAATCTCTTTTATTTTTCTTACAAGGGAAGTGCCTTTGCTGGTACGATCATTTTCAAATCTCATAATGAAAATTGTAAATCATTTTTCAGTAACTCCAATAGATTACAATGCAATATCCTCGCTTAAAAGTGCTTAAATATCAATAACCGCGCACTAGCGAAACAAAAGCAAAAATACGTGTCTAATTATTTTTTGCCCTCTACAATATAAGCCCGAAAAAAATTGAAAATGATCGTACCAGCAAAGGCACTTTCCTTGTTAGATCAGTTTCTGAGATTTTTAAGGTCAAAGTGGGCAACTTGCGGGTCTACTGCAGGACATACTATAGCATATTACATTGTCTTATTAAGATTTATGTAGAATACATTTGCGGCAATCGATCGATGCTATCAAAAGTCTTCTACTTGCTACAAATGCTGAGATTTTCAAGCTCGAAAAAGATCAGACAAAAACGTCGCTTGCGGACCCAGCTCCGAATATTGTTTTGTCGCTTTGTTGCAGTGATGTACTCATGCTTCTCGACAATAATGATCAGAAACATTTTGATAAGCTATTAAGATAGGAAGAAAAACTGATTGAATTAGACGCTAAAGTCAATATAAAACCCATAGAAGAAAATTAAAGTCCTCACAATCAAATGATTTTTAGTATAATACATTTTTGAATGCTCAATACAAATCTATTTCTAATCATTATTAGTAGGTATTCTAACAATCTTATTCAACGTCTCGAACAATATCAATTGGTTTTTAGAAAAATTCAATTTCCTCTCAATGGTGCGAATTATGAACACTTAACTAACATTAACAGATCTGAAACAATTTCACTTTCAGAAAGTGAGCTCCAAATGACATTTAGAGGTCAAACAACGAAGTGATCTTCAATGAACTTGAAAGCCGGATTTCAATGTTTCAATGATTTAGTCTTTAGAAGCTCAGGGTTGAAGTCTGAGGTCTGTACCATCAACCGTTCGAGAGTTATACCTTCAAACCGACGTAAAAGTTAGCTGGATAGCTCGATATTCTCAGACTATTGAATGGAAAGCTATTCTCAGACAGGTACAACTGGGAATCTTGACTGTACATACCTTTGTTGACTCCATCAAACTCTTGAAGATAAATTCCACCGGATGACAGCAAACTCACAAGCAGCGACCAATCATCTTTTTGAAACAATAATAAGAGTCGACGAATTTGACTGAAGAATGGATAAGCTTCAGGCTCGGCTGAAAAGGCAAACTCTAAGCAAATTCCGTTTTTAGGTTCAACATCGATTGTGGTAATGTTGTATGTTAGAACAGATGATCCATCAAATCGCACACCAATATCTTGTTCGCAGAAATGACCTTGATAAGAAGTTTGCTCACATTGACATTTCACACCTTCAATAGAACCAATTCTCATATTTTCACGACATTTGCCTCCATTTTCACAGGGTTTTTTATCACAGACACGTTGACATCCTCCAGTAACATTACCATTAATAGAAACGTGCTTTTCCTCTCTTTTCTCTGAACTTTCCTCAATCGCTTGTTCTAAATCAAAAAGAGTGTGATTGATTAACAAGCCAGAGATGCAACCAATAAAAGTAGGCAGTGAATGGTCAACAATTGGATCAACTCCACCAATAAAAAATTGTGTATGCGGAGGCAAGGCAATAAAAGAGCGAATCGGTCTAACAAGTTCCATTGATCCTCCATACTGCCAAGGCTTTTGATAATATTCTTGTAACAGGCCGAGAGAACTGTTGATGGTAGCTGAAATTGGTAATGAACAATTACGTTCACAGCCAGTGTATACAGACAAAACGGTTGAATTACGACGTCTTTCAATTGATACTTGAATTAGATTCCCAGAGATAAGTTCAGGCCCAACTCGAACTCGCCCAGAGACTATAGTGCGGTAGTTGTTTGTGGTAAAAATCACACTCAAATTGAATAAATGAATTTGAATGAAGTTGTTGAGGTGGTCATTTGCGTAGAAAACCAATCCGGAATCCTCATAAGTTCGGAAGCTTAAGGAAATGCGTTTGTTAAGAACCGGGTGAGTTTCATTTCCATGGACCATCATGTGAACAAAAGCATTATCTGAGCTAATTGTTAATCCATTTAGGTTGGCATCATCTTGGCAGTTACGTCCAGAATGAGCAAATGGGTTAGCACATATACATTCATAATTTCCCCACATTTCAATACAATGTCCATTATTTTGGCATGGATTGGGTTGGCATGACTCTTGACATCGGGATTCAATATCAGTAGCCCTGGAAAGCAAATGGAAAGAAAAATATTGCAAATAAAAAAGTGAATTTATTTAAAAATCTAAGCTTCCGATTTCAAATCATCTGTTTTGGCAATTATGCTCACCTTTCAGGAATAGACAAAGGTATAATTCGCTCAGCAATCAACAGGCCGCGGAAACATCCAATAAAGCCTAAAGATGATTTGTCTTTAAGCTTTGACCTATGAATTGATATAAGGTAGAAAAATATATTACTACAGGTTAAATATTATTTTCCAATCATTGATATGTATTGATAAATTACTAACTCAGGTGCTCCGCCAATATAAAGAGGTCCTTCAAAAAGATCAAACATTTCATTACGATCTAAATCGATCATCAGTGAATCCAAATTAACAGTAAATCTCATGTGCCTCGTTTCATAATCAACCCAAACTTGTTGCCATTGACCATTGTTTAGTTTACTTCTTGATATAAGCTTCGATTGTCTAGGAACACCATTAACAGAGTATTCAAATAAAATTTCAAAAGGACTAATTAAAGTGACTAAAAAGCGGCCATGGTGTGGAAACAGAGGGGCTTGATAAAGAATCACTCCATAAGAAACGGTTGTTCGAAAACTGAATGCCAAATCTCCAGAAACCCAACCATCAAGTTCAAGATACGATTGACGGGTTTTAAACGTTACAATGTGCTCTTGGGTACCTGAAACACACACAAGAAAATAAATCAATTATCGAGAGTAAACAACTTGAACAATTTGTAAAAAAAGTTCAAAACTTCTGTAGCGTTTGGAAAACTTCCCTTGTTATGCATTTTTGAATGACATCCTTCACTCATTAAATCTTTGTTCATGAGTCTAGTTATAAACACTTTTTTGTATCAATAACATATTTATCAGCTTAATCGGAATTTATTTAATCATCGACTTTAAATGCTTGAAATGAAGCGACTCTCAAGAACCTAAGATTATTCAATCAAACTCAATAAACACTCATTATTGTGTTAAGCTTTTAGCCAATTAACACTTATTCTAATGATTGATCAATTGAATCACTTTTCTCAGTCTGATTGCATCCTATTTCAATTAGTTATGGAATAATCAGTGTAAACTATATTTTTTATTCATTGAGACTTTTCGATACAAGAATGATAAAGCTAAATTTGAGACAAAAATCCTAAATCAAGCAACAAAAAGCTCAGATTTCTTTGTCTACAGATAAAAATGAATATTCAAAATATTAGTTACACAATAGCTGAATATGATTATCTAACTTGAATTGTTGGACGGATAAAAATAAATCTGTTTTTCTTGATTGTCTCAAAAACAAAACTAAGCGTATTCAATTTCATTTCATGTCATTAGAATGCGCAAATTTTGCTTAAAGATCCCATAAATAATATAATAGTTTTTAGATATTTCCATACAATTAACTAAAACCAGTTGTAAACAAACAAAATCATTCTCAGTAGATTTACAATACAATACGATTGTTTCGCTACCATTTGTGTACTTACTTAAATCAATGCACTTCAATGGTGATAGAGTGAACCGCCCCTCAGAGGCTTCAGTTAAATTGGGCGAAGCGAGGAAAAACGCTCGAGTTATCGCCAATTTAGCTGGTTCAACAATAACACCAGAATCTTCATTCTCTCGTTCATCTAAAAAGTCGCAATTGCAATAACGCTGGGGATCCTGACAGTTCATAGCGGTTGAACATGGACATCGACCACTAATGTTACTTCCCACTGAATCAAGTCGCCAATCGCTGGCTGAAATCATCCAAGCTTCCTTCGCCAAACTGTTGACATTAAAATTGATAAAAATATATAAATGTGTCAATAATCTAGGAAAATCAACTTACTTTAAAGGAGCCTTTCTACATCCGTATTTTATTTCTTGAGTACATCCTTTAGTGTGGCCAATCAAAGCTTTCAACATTTCTTTATTGAACTCTCGATATTCAATATCGATATAATAACTGGGGAAATCTTTTTTACGAACGATCTGAAAGATAACAAATTTCATTAATGAGAATCGTGAAATATTTAAGTGCATAAAGTAGGATGTAAATGAAGGGTGTTTTAAGCAAAAACATTTAAAAATAACAGTTAAATGTTGCATATTTTCATATGAGAAGCTTATTTATAAAATTATTAGCAATTTTATATTCAGCTTTGGTCTTAAACCTTTCAAACTGGTTCAAAGTAAAAAAAACCAACAGACATGGCAACTTCAATTCGAGACCATCGAAATATCAAATCATCGATCAATTTCTTACGACAAACAAACATTTAGTCAGGCTAACCTTTCTTGACCAACTGCAGTGTTTAAAAGATGATAACTTATATCTAGCAATTGCTTTAACAGTTAAAAACCACAAAAACAACACTCTATGTATCGAAAGCAACACTGACTTCATCAACGGTCATAAAATATTCCCTTCCCAATATCCTAATTGTAAAATACAATGCAGTGCTAAACTACATTTAAAAAGTTGATTAGTTGAATCAATTCTGTTGAATCTACCAAACAACTGATTACTTCACAATTAAGATTGATGCCGCATTATTAGAGTCAAAACAAATATTAAGGATGGATAATTGACTAAGGCCTCCGGAGTTGTTTGATTTAGCTTTTCATTTTACTGTTGTTTTCATTGAAAATTGGTACATTGTAGGTTTATCCAACGTTAATAATATCTGTTGAGGCTTCTGAAGCATTATTATAAGCTGTTAGATTACTTTTAAGCTGAGATTGACTTTGAATTTGCTAATTAACATTACAACTTGATTTATGAAATGAAAGGTAAACCAAAACAATTATGTTCAAAAAAGCGCAGGTTTACCTATTTGACTAATGTTATGGGATAAAAAACGGCAACACCAATGAAATGATCATCAATGATCGTCTTTTTTACCTTAAACTTTCTCACTCTTGTCCGACTAATCTCACTCAATCATCTTTAAAATTTTGTACCTTTTCATTTTTTAAGGAGCGTTGGACGAACCTGTATCTCACCTTTAAAAGTTACAAGGAGTGGTTCATATGGTTTTTTTACAACAAAACAGATTCCTAATTTCCAGGCCTACGCATTGTCTATCCTCTTTCATTCAATAATCTGATGGAATGATAACATAAAGAAAATAGAAATACCAAAACACAAGAGAAAAGCTGATATTGAAAAATCTAAAAGGTTAATTATGAAAGGTTAACCAAGTTTTGGTTCATTTATTGTGCTAAATTTGGTAAAAGCTGTACTACCATTGAGAGGTGAAATCATACAATTTTTTGATGTAATGATTTTTTGATGGACCCGAGAATAATCGCCCTTAGATAGCTATCATCATCACCATCAACACTAGCTAATATAAGCTACATGTTTAATCAGATGAAGGTTCATTTTAAATTCACCATGTTACCAATACCTTGGTTTACTAATCAAGCTCTCAATCTTGAATTGCAAATGAGGTAACCTAACCGAAGACAGTTTAATTATTAGGTAAAGCTTATAAGGTTTGCTTGGTTAAAACTAGTAAGATGAGATGATTAAGCGTTGCTTTTTTCATTAAACTTACATATTCAACAGGCAAATTGTGATTAACGGTGGTTTCGGTTCGCTTAAATGACATTGTACATTCAACTCTAGCAGGTGGTAAAGGTCCGTTTCGATCAATATCTATCATGTAAGTTCCATTTTTACGATGTCCAAGCAAATAATACTCTTCACAGGTTCTTTTGTACAAAGCTGGTCAAAAGAATGAAATAAATTGAAAAGGTTATTGTAAATGACCTGAAAAATTCTGGAAATACTTACCAAAGTGACAAGTTTTCCCTGCATAACCTGTATCGGTACAATCACAATCTGCATCCCCCTCTTTATTGACTGTACACTTGCCACCATGTTCACAGGCACCCGGATAATCACATGGATTTATGTAGGAACATTGATCTAAAGCAACACGACCTGAATGAAGAGCTCGATTGTTCAACAATATCCGAGAATCAACAGTTTCATGGTCAACACCAAGGTTGCGAATACATCCCATGATACCGTAACCGTAAGCATTTGAGTTGTTGAAAGTAGCATTAAGAGCACCAACAATAATGTAACTATTGAATGACATTTCCCCTTCGAATTGGTATTTGACGGTATATTCATTGTTGATTTCAATGGTTAAATTTGAACTTTGACCATACAAACCAATCATTTGCCACTGACCAGCCAAGAATCTAACTGGTTTACCCGAGGACCAGGTTTTTGAGATTGGCTGAATCTCTGAATTATCATTATCATAATCGATGATTGAAAAATGGGGAATCGAATTTTTTAAATGTAAAATCCATAGTAAATGACTTGTTGGTTCTTCTACAAAACGGAATCGACCTGATGAAAGGATGACATCTCGCTGGGGAGTTTTAAATTCCATGAAAAGATCAAGTACGTTAGAGAACGTTTTGGTTACATTCAAGTAAGATCGAGAAGTTTGAAAGGTAATAGGTAAACTGGGCACCGGAGAACAGCCAAATTCTGGACCAAAAAGGCCAGTAAAACGTATATTTGGCTGATTCTTTCTGAGACCCAAGAAAATGTCTTCTCGATTAAAGTAAACTGACTTCAGGCAACCGACGAATTTTGATCTCACCAAGCTTTTTGGGTAAAGTGAACGAACCTCGACTGATTTAGGTAAGCCAGCTACATAAATGTATGGTTCAAGGTGAAGGTAGAATCGTTGCCCATTAACATGAAGTCGATGCGTGATACCGTCAACTATTATGTGAACATCTCTCTTAGCGTGGATAACAGTCACGTTATGCCAGGCTCCATCTGACAATTTACTTCCTGTGGTGGTCACTCTTAATGGGCCTTCACCGAAGTCAATCTCAAATCGTAGCTTACCCTCAATTAGATCCAAGAAAACATGATTAAAATCAGGATAAAGACCATAAGCATAGAGAAGCATTGAATCATCAAAGCGAGTACGAAAATGAAGACTGATTCGATTCATTAGAGTTTCTGTTCGCTCAGTCCAATTAAAGGCGGTGTAAGTGATGAAAGAGGTGCCACGGAGAGTTAATGCTGTTACTGGAGACACTGAACACCAGGTATCCTCAAATTCAGTACCAAAACAGTCACATGTTGAATGAGTGTAATGATTGACACATGAAGATCCTAAGGAACATTGAATACTTGATCGACACAGATTGATACAACCCGTTTTCAGGCCAACAGAAGTTATTAATGGCACATCAACAAAAAGAATCGAGCTATGAGTGAACTGAATGTTGCCCAAACAACCAATGAATCGAGGCGAATGGTGGTGTTTATGAACATAACGAAGGTTTGGATCAAGTCCACCAAAGTAAAGGCTTGATGGTATATTTCCGTAGATACTTGGTTGTTTCGGATTATACTGGCCATAAGGTTGATAACCATTTGGATGGAGGGACAAAAAAGATCGAAGTACAAATATAGATCCAATTTGACCATCAATAATGATCTTTAATTTAGCCTCTGAGGCAATAATTGTCAGGTTTACTTGATGCCAACGATCATCATTAAACCCCTTGCCAATAGTAAACTTATCTAAAGCCAAGCCAAATTCGTGAACAATCTCAACAGCTCCGCGATTCAAGATCATATGAAACTCATACAGGGGATAGCCAGGTGGGGCAGAATTAACTGAGTGAAACAATAACAAACTATTGGACCGATGAGTCCTGCAAAAGAAGAAAAGACAACTTTTAATATCCTTCAAGCCAAAAAGTAACTCTAATCTTTCAACTCTTTGCTTAATCGATGACAACAGAGGTTAAAATGACTGTTTCTGGTTATCTCTGGTTTATTTTAACGGATCAAAGTCTAGACATTAAGGCTACATGAGATATCTTTAGACAGCTTAAGACAATCTTTTGCAAAAACCAGTTAAAATTAATTTGTGATTAACGGGTTCAACACTTTTAGCCAACATTTTGATAAATCTAACCCAATGCATCTTTATTCACCTTTACATGAAATGTTTGAAAATCTCATTGTAAATGATGGATTGACTTGATGATAACCTTAATTACGTGATAATAATGGATGAAATAATTTGCCTAATTGGTTTCTTTCAGTGTTAACTATTTTCTTGATTGATTGTGATGCTTACAGAAATCATTTCATTAGTCAACATTGAGTATTACGTTTTAATTAGAAAGTAACTTCATTAATTAATAGCAGGGAGACTATTAATACTTTTCTGATGCACTTTTAACCATTAAAACATCAACAACAGGAAACATTATTGACATAACCCTGAGTTTTTTAAGGCGTTTTGTAATAAAACTAAACTGCAATCTTAATTGTTGATATCACCAACACACAAATGGTGAAGCAAAAAGGTATATATTTACAATAGAAAGGTAAATAGGAGAATTGGTAAATTTTTTAGTGAAGCTCAGAGAAATGCTGTTGAAGGAAATGAACAACTGGAACTGAATTGTCATTTAAATTCATCAACACGATTTATGCAATTTGTATTTGATTGTAATTATTTGTCTTCTCGTGATGAAAACTCTTATGAGCTTATTATTTATGGTCTACTTTGGGTGATGATATTGATAATCAGGTAAAGACTGATACACTTGAAGCTAATTGATTAGAGACACTTGACAGTTTAACACAACTTACAATCGGAAACAACAATAATAACTAGTTGGCTCAATTTGTTTCAAAATAAGTCATCAACCGAAACATTTGATAATCATATTTATTGAAAACAATTTTATCCTCAATGGGAACTCTCGATAGACATTAAAATGAAACTTGATTGAATTAAAATACATATAAGAAATTAATCAACAAGCAAAATTAAGAGCTAGAGAGTTCAACCTGAGATCTGTGATTTTTTCCGTAAAAGTCATGTTAGTTTATGGTTGTTAGTATTGGTTTTCAGGTTTAATTTAACCATAGTAACATGATAATCAACAATTTATAATACTTTGTCTGGTTTATGCAGTTCTCGGTTGATTTTGTTCATTGATAACAATTACCTTTCCTGGTTTCACCTTTTATTAGTTTACACAAATGGATACATTTACTGGATGACAATAAATGTTATTGGTAAAAAAATAGAGCCATTTTTATCTAACTAAATGATCGTTAAGGTAAATTAACTTAGCAACAATTGCGACCTGTGTGAATTGAAAAACTGAGTAGTTGTATCGATCTTTTGGGTTGGGTTTACAAATTGTTACAGTTTTTGCCTCACACTAAACACTTGTTGAGAGTCAAGTATCAATAATTGGACTAAAGCTAATTGTTAATGCAATGTAAATCTTATTGAATAATCTGAGACTTATTTTTGAAAAATCTGGTTAAGGTTGATTCTGATTTAAAGAAGGTTCAAAAGCAAGATTGTCAAACACTTGACATGACTTGGTTAGTTAAAGAGGAAAGCTTGATTGTTTGATTTGTCAGAAGTTACTGGTTAATTACTTACCTAAATTTAAAATTAAGAGATCTTGTAATGTGGGGAGGCCAACAATCAGTTGAGTTGATTAGAAGAAATGAATTGTTTTGTGTGAAAGTAAAAACCTTTGGATCCAAATGATCTGGTATTGAAGGTGGAGATGTTGGTGAAGTGAATGCTGGTCTAGGTGGTAAAGTTGATGATGAGATTAACTCTTTAGTGTGATGACTGTGACCATGATGACCGTGATGACCATGGGTATGAACCAATAAAATTAAATTAAACAAAATGGAAGCACAAAAAAATGTAAAGTCTCCCATGTTAACACAGTTTTACAAACGAAGCTAGTAAATAAAATCACATATGGAAGAAGCTGTTAACAGTTGTTGATATCAAGACCCATTAATTTGTAATCCATCGTTAAGAAGCTAAATAATAAACAATTTGATTAGTCTATTATGATCAATCAATCATTAAATGAAGAGATAAATAGCTAATAATTAGCTTTATTCCTCAAATAAATCTGTAAACAAGTCTGTAGAGTTGCCGTTAACAGTCAACCAATTTTATCAAAAGTAAAAACAATTACATTTTCAGTGTTTCACTCTTCAAATTGTGTCAAACTAAAGTTTATTATCAACCTCATTACTGTTATTAATTACAATCAACATGATTACAGGTATAAAATGGTAATAATATTTGTAATAATAACATCTTTGAAAGCAATGAAAGTTGCAACAAGCAAAGTAACAACATTGGACTAGTTTACCTGCAAGCAAATAATAAACACTTACTTTTGAACGGAGATGAAGATGAGAGTGGGCGACGAAGAGAAACTAAGAAAGATGGATGATGATGATGATGATGAGAGGGGAAAAGATGAGAAGAGGGAAAACTAAATTATTTGGGAATCTTAACTTCGGATGACAATAGAGGCAACATTTAACCAATATGAAGGCGAAGCTCAAAATATGTAAGCTTCACTGAAATCCTTCAATCGGTTTGGTATAAAAACTGGTTGTTGATTTGAATTTCGTACAATTAGTTGAATCATTTTTGCCTCTCAATAACTCAACACTAACTCAATCAGATTATCAAAAACAATTAACTCAAGTCAAGCAACTGGCGCCATCATGTAGGCGTATTGTTATTTAATTGGGAAAATAACTGTTGGTTTATCACTTTGCTTCTAAGAGTCGCGTTATTTTGATTTACTTGGTCTTCATTTCACTCTTCACTTTAGTCTATTTCATTATGTTTAATTTATCATCTCAAAGTTTCTTTGCTATTAACAATCTTTTCAAGGTTCACCATCATTACTCAGAAGGAAACACATCTCCACCCTGAAACATGGTGAGTTAAAGATCATCTTTGCTTTCCTATCAACCTGTTAAACCTGGAAATTATTTTCTGCTTTTTTTTTGTTTCTTCTCTTTGCAGGATTGAAGTTAAAATACAACTATCATTTCAGTGTACAATGATTAATCTGCTGGTTATTTTCATATTTCTGCTGCATCTAGCTGGCTGTTGCTCTGTCAAATTGATGAATTAGAAAGATGCTAAATTTTTTATTAACTGTTGGTGTTTTAGTCTCTTGGATGTAAACCCATTGGGATAAATGGTGCCTTTTGCCCTTTAACCTGGCTTTCATTGGAGTAAATGGATGATATCTAAGCTGAAAAAAATGAATTTTCATGTTCCAATTGAAACATCAATCACAAAAATTGAGCTTGAAAGTAAATAGTTTCCCTGTCCCGATGATTTTACTAGGAAAGTACCTAACTCAGTGGAAGTCTCAATCAAGTTATCTAGTTTTTTTTCCTTTAACTACAAAGGCAACCAAAAAATGGAGCCAAATTAATGAGTTAATAGTCACTAAATACAGGCTTTTCAGAAACAAATCTGGATCTCAAAACTCTATTGGAAAAGGCAATTAGAAACAATTGACCAGAACTTCAATTGAACTTCAAACAGCATCAATAACTTTCCGTTACAAATGAACTTGTCGATTATAAAATTCACAGGAAATTTTTGACCAAAATAAGCATTATGTTACTCTTGTCTTTGAAGTTGAAAATCAGCTTTCAAATTTAAAAGGTAAATTAATGAAAATTGAAGATTCATTAGTTTGAAAATAACAGATCAACAGTTACATCTTTAATAAATGAAAACATTCATCAGAGAAATAGGTTTATATTAGGGTGTTCGATAATGTGTTGACCTCAGTATGAAAAATAAATTATTTTTTCGAACTAAAGAGTTTAATCACTTCCTTGGGTAGTATATAGAGACTATCTAAAAGGATTTTCAAAAATTTCGTCGGCATGCCTATTTTTTAGATTGACTCTGAAAAGTACCTAAATTTCAGCCTTTTTCTCTTTTATTGATGAAAAAACGCGCCATTCGCGTAGTTTATGAAGTTTAAGCGTGTTAAATTAATCAGCAGGGTTACATTCATTGAATTTGAAAGTGACATTGCAGAATCGTAAATTCTTCGCAAAAATTTTCTATTCAACATCTTTACCTTCATCAAACTCCTTTGCTTGCTAAACACAAATCTTGATGGATAAATCTTATTAGCAGATTTCACAGGCTAGAATCGCTGATTAAAGGCTAAAATATTTTATGATTTCGAAGGTCAGATCATGAGGAATGTTTAGCATTAGAAATTTTGAAAGCCAGCATTGTCATTTGATTTTTACGGCCACTCAAATAGAAATTATCGATTTTAAGTAACGCATTCGCAAAATGACCACAAACAACTGACCTTCAGATACAATCGGACTTTTTACACCTCATTACATAGCTGATTGCTTGGAGATTTCATATTTTTGCACAATAAGCCGATTCTCAATACAGGCAGGTCATATTTGACCTTTGAGTTACTAGTATTCAGCCGTAAATCGAATTCAAAACGCAATTTGACCTTATAACTCGACTAAATGTTGATCGATGCTGACCAAACTCAGTAGATATTTGTTATTAAGTACGATGAATCATGCCAAAATGTTAATTTTTATCAGAATTCAGAGAAACTACCTTAGGTCAAAGCATTATCGAACACCCTAATATTTTGATTTTATTAATTGTAATTATAAGATCAAGCAATGGATCAACTATCAATTGATAAGTTGCCGCGCCATCAAAACGTAAACTTGAACTTTTGTATCAAGAAAACGAGCGAAGTTAAATGAACACACAAAAGGCTGAAGTGAATTTCAAATGTAATATTTATTCAATTATAATCTGTGATCATCGCTTTTGGTGTAAGAATTAACTGGAGAAACAAACAAACATTTAATACATTTATAAGGTTTATCTTGACAGGTTTTGGAGCAACATTAAATTGATTCACCATGAAACATATTCATTTTCAGTGAGCTTACGTCGATCATCATCAACATTACCTAAGCCACTTTTCAAACGATCAGCGTCCTTAAAGGAGACAAAAAAGGCCAATAAAAAACAAAGAACCATTTTAATTTCAAGTAATCAGAGAAAGATTGAAATTGTAACTTACCTTTGAAAGTGAAGCTGCAACTGGAACCAATCGACACTGAACATTACTCCGTTTACCACCGGGTTTCCAGTCTTTGGTGAAAGTTACCTGAGAGTAAACCAGGTTAACCAGTAAACACATGAAAATTAAAACACCGGTTAACTTCATAGTTGACAAAATGTTGGACTTGCTGAGAAATAAACTATCAGTTAACTTGAACAGAATCAACCAAACAACTGAAGAAATTTGAAAAAGCAAATTAGCTTTTATATACTTAACCAAATTACAGAATCCAATTTTCAATATTTACCTCATGAGATTCAAAATTCCTTATTACCATTGACCATGTTAACATTCAATTCTGGTTCAACATTTTTTTTCATTTCCATTTCACAGCACAATTAACAAGTAAATTACAAAAGTACAAAAATATGATTATAACAACCAATTATTAATGTTCGTCAACAAGACTATCAACTGGAAAAGGTCCAAATATCCTGATATATTAATTTACCTTTGAACCCTCGAGACTTAATTTAAAATTTGTAGCTAATACATTTAGGAAATCAAGATATTTTCATGATAAAAGTCAACCTTACCGATGAACATATTTGCTCATTATCCAAAATAATTAATCGGTGAATCTTTCATTACAGATGGACATTCATTGAGGCCTGAAATAATTTCCATGTTTACGGATCAAGTAACTGATGAATTTCTGTGATTAAGATTATCCTTTAGGCTGTGAGATTCATAATGAATGATGGACTTTTTATTCATATTTACAGATTTGATTAAAATATTGATTAATGTTACATTCAGTATTTACATTTGCTATTTTCATTAAATTGATTAATTCAGACTTCAGTTTTTCAACACTAATGTACGTTATAAAAGTGTTAATAAAAACAAAAAAAAGGTTAAACTGTTTTTTTTTGCTCGAGTTTCCATTCATTTTGTTGATTCTCATTTTCAAGAGTTGTTTTTTCCACCATGTTATATCTCGAGTTCACCGAGTTGTTTTCATTAAAATTACTTTGCAATTTATGGTTGATTAAATTTTCTCATTAAACCAATGAAAATTAATCCATCATCCAGTCTTTTCGTTCTCCTTTTTTACGTTGAGTTGAACCATTTCAGTTGTTAATTGTATTACTCTGTTTCCTTTTTTTACCTTTTTTATGCAATTGTATTCACAATAAATGTGAATTGCTTGTGTCAGCATCATGGTACAATCAATTTGAGAATAGTAATTTACTTTGATTATTTCTTGCTTCCTTATAACATGCTTGTGGTGATGATTGAAACACAGAGAGGTTTACTTTGTCTAAGCAATCAACAAACACCGATTGATCGATAAGCTGGATATTTTTAGTGAATTTAATCTCACTAGACTTTAACTTGATCCTCAATCAACATTATCCTGGTAATTTAGGTGCGACTCGGCGGTTGGAAATAAATTGAAAAATAGACTTTGATTTTGATACAATTGTTTTTATTGATTCACTTGAAAACAATGTTAACAGTTGTTGAGACCCATAATTTCTGGTGGTGGCCATCTTGATATGCTTCCGAGGTAAGACCAGAATTGGCTTAGTATTTTACTTTAGGTTTCCTTAGAAGGGGCAAACTGAATAATGAGATCCTAACCCAATGACAGGGATAATAACATGGAATAAAAAGAAAAAGAAAAATTAACATCATAAATAAGAGTAAAAGATTTGTATTGAAACAGTCACAGACTGGAAATTGTATTGAAATGGCTTTTTTTGAAAAACCAAAAAACTATAATCGATTGTATGTCTTACAACTCAATATTGTTTTAGACAATTTCCAGTCTGAATAGAAATTCAATTTGAATCGAGAAATATTTACCTTTAAATTTTGGTTTGACTTTGTTCATGGAAAATTGGATTGGCCTTATGAGTTGGTTTGGTTTTGGCGGTAAACTTAGATTCGTTTAGAGGTGAAACTGTTTTGTTTTACAACAATTAATAAGCATCATTTTTTGAATAAATATGTATGTACAATTAATTATATCCATAGAAAATATTTACACAGTTTAGTATAAAAAAAGACATTTATAATTTGTACAAATTGGTCAGATTAATGATTATACGAAGGCAAATCAAGGTTGAAGGCAGTTGAGACAGTTTTCAATCAAATTTGGGTTGATTGAAAATGTAAGAGACCAGTATTTAGTTGTAAACATCATCATTGTTGGTAGTGTCCATGTGAGAAAGTGTTGATTGACCCGTTGAACCATCAATTGAATAATAAAGTTGTTGAGTTTGTGATTGATTTTGTTGTCGATTTACGCCATATTGCCCATGGTAACCATAGTATCCATGGCGATTATCATAATCACATGGTAATGGCAACGGTCGGTTAGGTAATTGTCAGAAGGAATCATTTTTGCGACGATATTTAACCATGATTCGGCGAGTAATTGTAATGGTAAGAAGGAGAAGGACAATTAGAATTAGCAAGGATAGACCAATTAAAACAAATCGATTTGATACCAGTGAGTAAAGAAGAGATGGTTTGGAACAAAGATCCTCCGATTCATCTTCTGCCGGAACAGGTGAACCATCTGGAGTTGTTGTGAGCGGACAATTTGGGAATCCATTGCAAACCAGGCTTGACCGAAGACAGGAGCGTGATGATTTACAAAAGAAATCACAGTCTGATGAAACTGAAACCAAAAGTTCAGTTGAGTCAACTGTTTCAGGTAATAATTTCAATTGAGTCCAGTAGAGTTGGAAGGACGTTGCTTCAGGATCATTGGAGCTCAAGTAAATGTCCACAATTTTGGTGACCGTTTTATCTGTAAAAAGTGAGTAACCCGATATTGGATAGCCATTTATGTAACTTGGTATTTCTTCTCGTCTCATTATTATGTTAGCCTGTTGTGGACCATGTTTTGGATTTGTTGTAGCTGTCATTGAGTGACTTGGTAAATTGGCATTTGGACCATAATTTAATGAATAATGTTGCGGTTGATGATGATGATTCGATGCGGAATCAGATGCTGAGGCTGATGAGCTTGATGACTGGTGGTGACCATGGCTATGATGATGATGTGAGTGATGTGAATGGTGGTGATGGTTGAAAATTTTTGAGGCAGTGTATTCAGAATGAATTGGCTGATTGTAACCACACAAAGGAATGTCTTTAATCAAAAGAAAGTTATTTGAGCAATCGGAAGGCAAGTCAAGATTCTTCACATTGAAAGTCAAGTCCATGTCTGGTACAACATGGACTCTCCATTTGCAAAACAAAGGCCATTCCGATGAAACCCAGAAATGGTTATCGTTTGTGAAGGACGACGAAGATAATCCATTCTGACCAAATGTAAATGGTTGTGATATGGCTGGCAATCTCGTTTGATTATTTGATCTTTTACTTGTGGACATTTTTCGAGCCATTGTGACGGGCTGACTCAATCTTGCCTTTTGGAAAGGAAATATTATACTGCCTTGCAATTGAGATGCTTGTGTTATAACTTCTTCAGGACCGCACCTCTGTTCACGAACAAATCGGAAATTGATCTGAATATTCAAGGAATACAAGAAAAGTAAATTAATTTTAATGTTTCCATTGGTGAATGGATTGTGCAAAAAGCAAGAGTTACTCAAAGATCTTGGTTATATTAAGAAAAGACATTCGTTTTACTCAAAGGATCTTGTTTCTCCACGCAATTAATCTATCGATTTCGTGTCATGACTTGAAACTGGTGAATTTAATTATCTTATAAACTCTTAAAGTTTTTTATATTGATTATCAACTGAAAATCAATATCAATCTCCTGGTACAATTAAAAAATGCAATGAATCTACTCTATTGAGGTAAGTTGATAAATAATGATGAGTCTATTATTTAGATGTTAATAAGGTTGTATGTAAGGATATGATACAAAAATGAGACTTGAAAATTTAATATTGAAACTGTTGAAGAAAACAAAATTAATAGCAATATTGTGAGAAAAAAAGTCGTTAACAATATTAAATAATAACTTTTATGCTAGACAAAGTTAATCAATTTTAATCTATGTTGACAGTAAAGCGCAAAGTAATTCACTATTGATTTGTCTTATTTTCCCTCTTTTTTTTTGTTATACATTCTAGTGATCGCTTTGGTTTGCGTGATTCTTTGCCAAAACAAAAACTAGTTACGTGGAACCAAAATTTCGGCTCAATTTGATGGTGAAATTGAAAAAAGAAAGCCAGTTCTAGAAGAAACCTGCTTCCATTGTTGATGATGATTGTCTTGGTGTCGTGAGAGATTTGAATCGATGTTTAAGACGATTGAAATGTGAGATGGTAAAAGCAACGAAAAAAGCTGATCTATTTTCATTTGAACCATTTCCAGCCAACAATTGTCTTTAAAACTAATTGAAATTCTGCAAATGTCTCCCAGTTGTTTTCATCTCTGTTGTTTTGAACAACAAAAAAAGTTAACCAGAATAAAGGATCAAGCCTTTTCAACTGTTGATGATAATGACGTTGATGACAAAAAAGTGAAAGTTATCAAATGTAACTTTTACTTTTCATCATAAAGTCACAGATGATTCTGCATTACAGATGGAATTTGCAGTTTTCGTATTTCTCTTGAAAAACCATTCCCAGAAAGAATTACTTTGCAAAAGAAACTTGGACAAGTTATCATTATTCTGTACAATGAATCACCGACTCTCTGGATAGTAGGAAAGCAAACAAGATTGCTCAACATCAAGTTATCACAATTACAGTTGAAACTGGAATCTACTGAGAAGAGAAAAGTAGTTCAAAGCTGAAACTGAAATGAAAACAAAATACAATTGTTGAATTATGAAAAACTGGCATTAATTAACTAATTGGCTAGATGATGCACTAAATGGTAAATCCACATTTTTTAGATTGCCCATAAATTTTCAACATTACATATACTAATGACTTTATTGTTTTTTTTGCTTTAATTTATTATTACACAGACATCAAATTGGACAGCAATTGGATTACAATATTACTGAAAGGTAATCTAAAAGGCCTAAAAGGAGGAGGGATGCAAGTGAAATTGAAATTATTGTTTCTTTCAAATGAAAATCAATTATTTTGACAATTGTTTTGACAGGTCATTTATTTCCTCTGGTAAGTCATTTTACCTTGAATTATTTATCAATTTAGAGACAACCAATTTATTCTATTGACATCATTATCATCATTATTCTTTCTATTACCATATCTGATATCTCTTTATCTTTAATCTATTTTTTCTCTCTCTTCATTGTTGTGGTCATTATCATTAAGGTTTACCATGTTTGCCATCGTGATTGCGTGATTTCAAAGTGATAACTGAACACAGTCGAAATGGAAATAAAGTGATGAAACAAATAATGGCAACCTCAGAATGAAGCTCTTCAGGAAACGTCAGGAATCAAAAGGTAGACAGAGATGGAAAGCAAAGCAATTGTAAAAAAATGGTGAAAATAATGGACGATATTTTTCCTCTATCCTTGCTTCATGCTTCGGTGTCAAATGAAATCCATGGTCATAATTTTGTTCTGATTTCACCATAAGCCATTTTCAATGGATATGATGTACAAAAGACAAGAGTGAAAACAGATGATGAAAAACGCAAGGAAAAAAAGGGAAACAGTTTCGAAGGAAAAAGGGAGAATAAGAGAAAAAGGAAGAAAATGAAAGTAAAAAAGCCGTAAATCAAAGTTATCATCTGTATTATTTACTGAGGAAAAACAAAACTCTGTATATTCTGTTACCTATCTCTCTCTCTCTTTTTATCCCAGTTTTTTCCGAAAGATTAAACACACAAAAGGAAGTGTTCATGTGCTCTTCAACACACAAGGGACTTTCTCTCTCTGTATCATGATCATCTAAAGGTAGGGTCAAAAATGGACCCTTGAATGAAATTGTGAGTAAAAATATGAAAGGCTGATGGTTTTCAAGCCTTCAGAGGGTTGCAATGTCAAGATATGAAGAGGCAAGTTGGCAAGAGGCAAAGTCAGAGCAATAAAGTGCAAGAAGTCAGGAAAGAAGGAGAAGAAACATGGCAGAAGATGAAGAAGCAAACAGGAGATAGTGATGAAGATGGAGCTGACAAAATGGTGTTTGAAAATGAAACAAGTCAACAAAGCTTAAAGAAGGAAGGAGAAGGAAGAAAAGTTTCACTTTTATTCATCATGATGTGATGAAGATGAGTTTTGACAGAAAAATAATTTTGATAAAAAGTCAAGTTTACCACACGAGTGAGCATTTGGTGTGGCACCCGACTCAAGCCCTGGCAAGGAACAACAACAAAAAAAGAGAAACTCTGCACACTGTTTGTACATTTAGATAATGATGAAAGTTCAAGAGGATGTAAAGCGTCAATAATATCGAGCACAATGTGAACTGCAAGGGAAAGACAAGCCAATATTGATGTATTAAAAATAAATAATAAATCGAGGAAAAAGAAACAAGCAATGGAAAAAGATGGCAAGCAAATCCCAAAATAAGGAAGCAAAGAAATATGATAAGCAAATGAAAATAATAGTTTCTGGAGTAGAAGCAAAAAACAAATCAAATCAATTTGATTGTTTCATATTAGCTGATGCATTTTTTTGCTCCCCATCAAAATTACCTTCTTTAATCTTACCTTTTCAAATGCAATCATCATCATCATCATCATTTCATGTCTTCTTTTTGTTCTCCTTAAACATTCTACAGTCTTTTTTTTCTCTTGCTTCTACTTTCTTGTAATTTATTTATTTCCACCAATAATGGCAAATCATACGATTTACAATTTATTAGATTGAAGCAAATTGTTACAAATATTGGCCAAAGAGAAACAAAAGCGAAAGCAGTTCAACTTTAGATAAGTTGAACTTTAATTTGATCATTTATTTCAAACTTTCATATCCATTCATTTTATCCTTTCACGTTCATGTTAAGTGAAAACAATAACAAGGAGAAACATTATTCATGAAATATTAACGCAAAGAAACGGTAAAGGAAATACAAAAATATGAATTATTAGAGGTATATATTTGATAGTCTTTTGTCCATTTACAGGTTTGCCTTCAACATTGTCTTACCCAAAACAAAACACAAGCTTGTTTTGTTACAACAAAAAACGCACCTTCAATAAACAATGCATGAAACAGGGAAACATTGAAATGAAATGGAAAGAAAAATCATAAATGTGTCAAAAAAATGGTTCCTCTGTAATTTACGGTTACTTTTCCTTTGCCATGCTTATGCTTTCCTTACACTGATAATCATTATCTCATAAATCATGTAACATGCACATTGATTCATCCCTTATTAGACTGTACATAAAGTAGCCTGTAAGAGTTGATTGATTACACACAACTAAACTGTCAATCAGCCTTCAATCTGAAAGGCTAATATTATTCTCATTTGATTCTCAAATGAATTGAGAAAAAATTTGTTTGCCTAACAACAAATAAAGCCTTAATTGTAATGATTGGTATGAAAAAAAACAGTGAATAACCATTGAACGCAACCAAACAATCCCAATGAGCACTTAAGATAGTCTCCATAGATACAGTAAAAAAATAAGGAAAAGGAAAGAAAAGATAAATTCTCATTTATTTTCGCCAAATAATCAGCAATATCGAAGCAATTCTTGTTCATTATTCCAGTTATTATTCATCCTCAGGCAAACCTAATGAGTTTCACTGTTTACTGAGAGACAAGTGCTCGGATAAGGTCAAAGGATAGTCAACATCTTAACCCAAAATCTTGATCACAATTGATGTTGCCAGGAAAATGATGTTTGATTTCAACTTTTAAATCTTTACACTTATTAAGATCAATTATAAATGATGTTTGCTTCCTCTCTTTAACCTTACAGGTAAAATAACTCATGATAAGGTTGCCATTTACTATGTGCAAACACATTATCAATATTAACTTCAATTATAAGTGAACCTTTTCAACTCTTTATTTCCTCCAATGCTAAAGGCTAAGAAATGAGATGAAAAAAAAGGTTCAACAATAACAATCATTTGAATGATATTTCTTTTGAAAATTTATGAACAAAACTAACGACAATAATAATAATAAAAATGGGTTGACAGGGAAAGTAATGAAAAAGTCTGAGAACAGATGACAAAACAAATGGAAAATTATACTTTTACCTTTTACTGAATATACTTTGATCATAAATTGTTAACAATTGTGAGGACAAAATTGCTAAGATTATCAAGATTAAATGAATAATGTTCAACATTAAGTATTCATCTTTATTTATTAGCAAAAACTCTGAGGATGAAAATGGTTGACTTTGAATGAAAACGAATGCAATGAAACAAAATTTATTTCAATATTAAGATTTGTTCAACAGATTTTGTTCTTGAATATTGCAAAGCAGATTCATGGATAAATGTGTATTATACAAAAGAAATTCAGTGGAAAATAACAGTAAAAGAAACATGTACAACAGATGAATTTCATTCGCAATGCTACAGGGAATTTTGTAAATAACTTCAAGTTTTTTTTCTGTGTTTCTTTTTTTCAGGAAACTTGTTTTACCTTTACAGTTAACCAACAATGTTGATGAAAAAAAGGATCATTTTCAATTCATTTTGATCCAATCATCACACTATTCTGGTTCACTTGCAGAGCAAAAACATTCATCTGGCTAAAGCCTCAGGCTAACCCAACGTAACCTAGCGTAACCTAATCTCGACTTTTCAAACTCAATCTAACTTAATCTGACCCATTATGTTGAAAAATTTGTCAAATTTGCGTTGCTCTTCACATTGACTCGGCATAAAGGACAATTGAAAGAAAATTTGTTTTCAATCGAAAAATCATTCTCAATGAGCAAAGCTTTTTACATGGAAAAGAAGTCGATTATTGATTTCATAAATATTCGGAATCAAATTCAGTTCGTTTTTGAGCTTCTCAAACATCAGCCTTGAAAATATTTTTACAAGCTTTCAATCTCAAAAAATTTTTGCATCGAAAAATAAAAAGAGAAAAATGTGAGTTTTTCAAACATGGAGAAGAGGAACAAGTTGAAATTCGTTGATACTTATATTTTCCTAGGAAGTAAACTAGTTCTTGCAACTGATCAAACCAGGGAAAAGTCAATATCTCATGATTTCCTAGAAAGTGTTTAGTTTAAAAGTAACTCAAAAAGCGATAACACGACAAGTTTAACCTCTGGTTAACTTTAGGCCGACTTACTGTTAAGCTCAACCTAACCTAACCTAACCTCTTAGGTTGATGGTTGTGAGTCTGGTTGCCTAAGATCGTAACTTTATCAGGTCAAGTAATGGAAGTTAGAAGTAGATTTTTTAAGTCATTTGCTTCAATGAAATGTAAACAATTTGAAAGTGTTATTTATCATGTTTATCGTGTTCCCTTGCTGAGAGATTCATGTAGATGAGCTTAGGTGTTCTTAGTGATAATGGTGTTAAGGTGTGAAAAAGAGTTGAAAAGTTTGACTCAAATGTTCAACATGAGAATGTAAATGTGAAATGATATTAACAAGAAGCAGAAGGAAAAAAGAAGCAAAAGGTAGGAGAAAAAGAAAAATTCTGTAACATGAGAATGAAGCAGATTTATCTGGTATCCTCATGAATCATGCAGATATATTGTATAATATATATAAAAATTCTGAAAACAGATTTTTTTCCTTTTTTCTGTATCTGAGTAACTGAATAAAAAATAGAAAAAAGGCAAATAAAAAAAGAAGAAAAAATCAGGTTGACTAGCTTTACCTTGTTTCAGGAATGATAAAGAATCGAGTGAATAAAAAAGTACATGATTCCATGAAAAAGTGAGCTTGAAACATTGAAAAAAGTTTTGAAACTTGTTCCACAGCCATGTTCATCTTCATGCTCCTAATCATCATTCCTGTTCATCTCTTGCAAAAGTCTAACAGAAAAAAAATTCACATTCAATCAGAAATAAAAAAAGTTCAATTTAAATCATGTAAACCTTCAGCTTCCATCTTTGATCATCTTTTTCATCTTCATCAACATTTCATCATGATAATCAACATCAAACCTTTTCCTTTTCCACCAAACATATTAAATTATTTTCATCATTTCTTCTTGTCTTGAATATTAAAATTTCACAATTTTGACCGAAACAAGAAAAATGATAAAAGTTCCAACTGAGAAAAGTTGAATAAAAGGCAACAAAAGGTGAAATCTCAAAGTAATAACAGAATGAAATGAAGCTTATCTGAACTTTTTTATTATCATATGCATGAGATAATCTCAACCATTTCTGAAGTAAAAAGAATTTTTCTCTTCAAAAAAGACATTATCTACACCTTTAAAGCATAACGAACCAAAGTGACCATAAAATATTACAGAATTGTAGAACAATAATGGCAAGTATATCAAGAGAAACTTTTTTTTTACTTTTTTTTCGAAGTAACCTTTAAGGAAAATAATGGTTGCCATAATAGAAGGCAAAAAGTATATAATAGTCATGATAATGAGAATATTATAAGTAACTCCCAAGAACTTGAGTTATCATTATAATCATAGTTGAGTTACTGACAGGGAGTGACTTTTTTCTTTAGCTTCTCTGTTCACTCCATGCTGCATGATGAACAGGGTGAACAGAAAAGGTGAATTGAGATATGGTAAATTTATGGGCTCAATTTAGTGATGATAATCAGAGTGGAGGAAAGGATGAAATGAACAGCTAAAAAATGTGTATTTGATGAAAGCATGAAATGGTTGAAAAGTGATTCAGTTGATGAAACTTTCAATATTGATGGAAATGAAGTTATCAAGAAATGATGGAAAATTGTTTCTTTCTTTTTCTTTGCTTTCTCTTTCTGTTTGCTTACGATTGTTTGATTTTCCCTCATTTTTTTCTGCATCCTTTTGCTTTACTTGTTCAATGAGATGCGATTAAATTGAGATGCAGGTTTAATAATAATAACAGTAATGATGATGGTGATGAAAGCATGCAAAGTTGCATGAACAAGTTGAAAAATTTTATTGAGGCAATGAAATAAAAACAGATTGAAATGTGAAACTATGAAAATTGAGAAACGACAAAAACATTTTAGACTCGATTCAAGTTTAATGTCTTTTACCATTCAATTTGTCGCCTCAACAAATGAACATTTAGCAATTTCCAATTTTGACGGCTTCATGAAAATACACCTTCAGACTCAAGGTCACTTCAGAAATCGCTCCTGATGGTATTAGAGGTCAACCTATTCTGAATGTTCACTCTTCAATCTTGATCACGAACCAGCAACTCTTCCGAGAAACTTGACTCGGATAATGTCGAGTGAAAATTTAATTTAATGATTAATGATTCCGAACTTCGTGAAAACTGTCCATAAATTTAGCTTCCAACACTTGACTTTTTAAGGTTATCGCAATGAGCATAATTAGATGTTAACTAGATGATCAGTATCTTGACTGACAACAATTTAATAACTTGAAATCAATCACATTGAAGAGGGTTGAGATACTTAGCAATTGATAAAACACAAAATTGACTTTTCGTCTCATTTCACTTTTTTGTCTAAAGTTCGTGAAATGACTTGCAAATGACTTTTCACTCGTTTCATGAGACACATTTGTCTCAACTTTACGCAACAATAATTTTGATGAAACGAGAAAAAACATGAAAATTCATTGAAATGCGATGGATAATTATTTTGAAAAAATACTTTCATTCTTTCCTCATTTGTTAACCAAATAATTAATCAGTCAAGTTGAATAACAATTAACTTTACAAAGGACAAAAAATTGATGAGCACAAAAAAAGAGTAACAATAAACCAACAAAGGTCCATCAATTTGAAAAGGCAACCAATTTATTAACAGATTAAATGATAGACAATCTAATTAACAAGTTGAAAATTTTTTAACCCAAAAATTCAAGCAATATTG